GCTTCTGCACTTGTCATTATCGGAACTACATTGTAGATCTAATCTCTAAAAATATGCTTTAACAGGTTGGTGAGAAAAAGTCCGTCGGACAGGAGGCTTTTGCAAGAATTGCTCCGGTTTGTCCTGCTATTGCAGATGCTATAACTGTACATAATCTTTTCGATGCACTGACTATCTCGTCAGGCCACAGGCTTCATTTTCTCGTATATGACAAATACATCCGCACACTTGACAAGTATGAACCTACTTACCACTACGTTTTTAGTCTCTCAATTTGCTTTTCTGCATTTGTTGACTTGCTGCATCATCTGAGTGTTATAAAACGTAGGTGATTAGGTATTTTTGATACTTTAAATACTTAATTTACTTCTCTAGTATCCATTTTGTTTATCTTACCTTAAGCACACCTATGATCCCTTAGCTGGCAACATATATTGCTTGCTAACTAATATTAATGGATTATTTTAGTTTTTCTGTGGTTCAATCAATGCTATCAAAAGAAGGAATGAATAATTTTGGATATTAGGGCTATGATTTAGTATGAGATAAATACACAGAGAAACTATGTTTTGCTCACATTTTCTTGCGGATTGGATCTCTCTTATGTTTCCTCACCCATTTTTCATTTGTAGAATTTTCAAGGCTGCTAAAAGCTCTCTAGGACCTTCAGCTGCCAGTCTTCAGCTTGCCAAGGGAGAAATAGTTCTTGATATGGATGGTGCCAATCCTGTTCTACCAGTTCTTAAACACGTGGGCATCTCCGCATGGCCTGGTGAATTTCTGGAGAGATCTCTGCATATAATCATTTTATTTATGCTGACCTTCTGCATTGGCAATATATTATACCTCAAGCAAAAGGAGAAACATGAAAATCGTGGACGAAGTTGGTTGATTTTGTTTCCATTTTAATAATTATCAAGCATTTCCTTTTGTAGGGAAACTGTCACTTACCAACTGTGCCCTGTATTTTGATTCAATGGGTGGTAGTGAAAAGCCCATGCGATATGATCTCACTGAAGACACAAAACAGGTCATTAAACCTGAGTTGACAGGGCCATTGGGTGCTCGTATCTTTGATAAAGCCATCATGTACAAATCAATTATAGTGTACGTTTGCTAGTGGAATACAATGTTATTTCTGTCTTGCTTATAATCTTTCACAAAATCTGTGCTCATAGATTTATGTCTTTTGCTTAATCTTGTTTTGTATGTACAGGCCAGAGCCGGTATATTTTGAATTCACAGAGTTCAAAGGCAATGCTCGTCGAGACTACTGGCTGGGAATATGCTTGGAGATCCTTCATGTACAATGGTTCATTCGAAAATACAACTTCAAAGGGATACAACGATCAGAATTACTTGCAAGAGCAATCCTCGGCATATTCCGGTACCGTGCAATAAAGGAAGCCTTCCAATTCTTCTCTTCCCAATACAAAACATTGCTTATATTTAACCTAGCAGAAAGTCTTCCTGGAGGAGATATGGTCTTAGAAGCTCTATCCAGCCGAGTCTCTCGCATAACCACCAATGTTCTTTCTGATGCTGGTTCTGTTCAATATATGAAATGGCCGTCAGACTTATCTCCAGTCTCACTCATATTACTTGAGCATTTTGGATTGAATCTAGAGACTGGGACAAATATGGGTGAAGAAATGGCAATCGTAGGAGATTTTTGTGTTGGGGAGACGAGTCCATTGGAGATAGCTCTGAAACAGTCAATCCTAGACACAGACAGGGTTGAAGCTGCTCAGGCGACTGTGGAACAAGTGAAAGTAGAAGGAATTGACACTAATGTTGCAGTAATGAAGGTATCACGAAATAC